GCAGCCCAATCCAGTTTTTCATATGACAGGAGTGGACTATTGTGGGCCTTTCTATCATAAGGCAGAGGCCAGAAATAAGGCATACCACAAGTGCTATATCGCCGTCGTTGTCTGCTTTTCCACGAAGGCTGCTCATTTGGAAGTGGTCCAGAGGCAGTCCACGTTACATTTGGAGCGACAATGCTACAAACTTTGTCGGTACAAAGAGAGAGCTTGCTAAGCAGAAAGAACTCTTTTTGAGCGAGCAGCACACAGCATCGATATCTTCGATTCTATCGATTCGAAGTTCATCCCTCCGCGTGCAGAGTCGTCGGTGCATCCATCATAGCCATCGATGAATTAAGAACTCTTGCATATGCGATTTCAGCCATCCTTTACTCCCGTCCACTCTGTCCAATTTCAGAAAATGCTGAAAGCTTGAGGTGCTAACACCGGCGCATTTCCTGAAGGGTTCCAGCTACACAAAGTTTCCTGAGCCTGACATTACTCATCTACGCGAAGGCCGCCTCAGCAGATGGCAGCGGGTGACCTAGATGCAGCATCATTTCTGGAAAAGGTGGAGCAGCGAGTATATGTCCCTACTTCAATAGAGGAACAAGTGGCGCGCCGAAACGTCTAACATGAAGGTTGGAAGCATAGCTTTGCTGAAGGAGGACAACGTTCCACCCTTGAGATGGCAGCTTGGGTGCATCCAGGAAGTCATACCCGGCGGGGACGGAGTCATCAGAGTAGCTATGGTCCGTACAGCTACGGGTCTGATCAAGAGAGCCGTCGCCAAACTAGCCGTTCTGCCCATTAATTCCAAGATAGTTGGAACCTTACCTTACCTTACTGGGGGAGTATGTTCGGAGCAGATCGCCAGCGCCTAGCCATGCGCGCATAGGTGTACGACGGCACCTGCAGCTCTCTTTGCTTATCTTTTGTCCCCTTCTTTATTATACCACTAAAGCTGTCGCTTATCTATTCAGCAACTACTTTTAAAGTTTTCGAGATCTCAGCGTTTATACGGACGGCTAGCGAACCTGATCATGAATATATAAGTGACGTATACGCAAATACCCTGGATACCAAACCCAACATACAACCTGTATATCCCGAGACACCCATTATTCCAATTGTCAATAACATAAGTCATCAATCCGACATAAACATTTAACCCCTCAGACACAAATCTTTCCCACGCCTTCGATCGACTGCACCAGTAATATAAACACTTCTCACGCCTTTATCGACGACGGCAAACATAAACAATATTCAAACATTTAAACAAAGGGTCCAGCCTGAGAACCCATTCGTCAGCATAAAAGCTTTACCCAATGCGAAATAATTAAACAAAAGATGCAGCCTAGAAACCGTTTCATCGGGCCACAGATTTGACCAATCCAAATTCTTAATCAAAGTCCACTTTCGCTGCTCGCGGCGCTGTCATCGCTAAAAGCCATAGTTATAAGTATAATGCATTTTGTAAAATCAGTTTAAGATTGGGGATCTTACTTGAAAGAACTTAACCAATAAAAACTCCGCTATATATTAAAACAAAAATTTTTTTTTTAATATATCCTGAAACAAAAACTATAATTGGCGCAGTCGGTAGAATACAAGTAATATCCTCGCGAGTGACTACCTAAAAAGGACTTAAAAAAATCACTTCGCGAAAATAAATCTAATTAATTTCGCCTAAAAAAAACATTGAAAATAAAATTGCCATCAACATCAGCAGCAGTAGCCGTAGCCGCAGCAGCAAAATCATCACAAACCCTCTCAGATGTATCCATGAATCATTTCCTTCTGCAACTAAAGCAGATAAATAAATTCAATGGAGACCCACTCTATTTGGTTCTCTTTATAAAAGAAGTCGATGAATTAGGGTACCATTACCCTACAACATCAGAAGGCCAAAACTAAATTATCCCAGCAGCCATCAGGAACCTCCTAGTTGGACAAGCCAGATCACTCTTGATGAGAAATATACCACACGACTGGAAGGAATTGAGAACCCTACTTATCAGCGAGTTCAACAGCGCAACACCTCAACATCGAATAATAGCAGAATTACGTGAGACTAAATATAAAAATAATTTACGTAAATTTGTTGAAGAATTAGAAGAACAGACAAGTAGAATTTGTTGTAAACTGAGCCTAGACAATAATCCATCAAACACAGTCCTAGTTTCGTGGACATTGAGTGATACATTAGCTGAAATGATTCGTGAAAAATAACCAATCAAAACTTGTATTATGTTGAGTAAATTTGATATTTCGTCTCCTCTTAAATTAAAACAAGGGAGAACGCTATAGTCGAGTACCTCGACTATCAGATACCCGTTACTCAGCTATATGGAGATATGCAAGCAGCAAAGCGAGATTAAAATGCGCCACCTACCGGCGGTATAGAGATTTAAGCGTTATGGGCGTTAGAGTGGGCGTGGCAAATTTTTTTTGGATCAATCGATAGGTATTGACTAGACCAATACGTTTCAGTTAAAATTTTTTATCTAGCATGAAAATTGTGGGCGTCACAGGGTTTTGCGGTTTGTGGGCGTTAAAGTGGGCGTGGCAAACTTTTTTTTGGGTCAATCGATAGGTATTGATGAGAACATTACATTTCAGTTAAAATTTTCTATCTAGCATCAAAACTGTAGGAGCCACAGTTTTGGGCGGTTTGTGGGCGTTAGAGTGGGCGTGGCAGTCTACTGAAACAAACTTGCGCTGCGTAGGAAGCTCAGGAATCTGCACGCCAAATCTCAATAGCCTAGCTCCCATAGTTTCCGAGATCTCAGCGTTCATCCGGACAGACGGACAGACGGACATGGCTAGATCGACTCGGCTAGTGATCCTGATCAAGAATATATATACTTTATGGGGTCGGAAACGCTTCCTTCTGCGTGTTACACACTTTCCGACGAATCTAGTATACCCTTTTACTCTACGAGTAACGGGTATAACAAGCTGCCCAAGCTGTAGGAATCTTTGAAGATAAGCCCATAAATAATCGATTGTATATGTTCCAAAACTCTCAGGAAGATGATGAATTTCAAGATTTTAAAACATTAAAATCATACTCAAATACAAAACCCAACTATCATTCAGATAATAACCAAGGGGGTAGACTCCAAAATAACAATTATCAAAACAAATATAACAACAATTAGCAGAGACAGAATAGGTTCGACTCTAATAGAAATTGGGGTAACAACAATAATTCTAATAATAACAATTCAGGAAATAATTGTTATCCTAAAACTTTTCAAAACAATCAAGGACAGGGTAACCAAAGTACTCAGAGTACCAATATTCCCCAAAAACGTCCCCGAGTTTCAGATTCAGATCAACAGGATACAGGATTAAGCATAAATTTAATAAACGAAAACTTCTTTAACTACCCAATTAAAAATAATTCCACTAAAATTAAAACAATAGTTGAAACTTTAAATAAATTTATTCAGTTTAGCATTCCAAAATTATTTTCATCTAAGCAAACATTTTTTATAAAAAACTTTTCAAAACATTATGACATTCTTATAGGAAGACAAATTCTGAAAGAATCGTCAGCAAAAATTGATTTTATGAAAAACTATTGAATTACATAATTATGAATTACCTATGGTAAATATAACGGAAAAACGTAATCAAACTTCTTCAAATGTAGTAGATGATGAGGAATACAATTATGCCTTACAAACGGACTTATCTGACAATAATATTAGAGACGAATAATGAAAAAAAACTGAACTTCATTATTTGATGTCAAAATATTTTGATATTCAGTATCATGAAGGTGAAAATTTGACTTTCACAAACGAAATCAAACACGTTATAGAAACAAAACATGAAGAACCATTTTATAGGAGACCATTTAGTTATCCTTACACTTACGATACAGAAGTAGAAAAACAAATTGAAGAAATGATAAGACAAGGTATTATCAGAAAATCTAAATCTCCTTATTGCAGTTCAATTCTAATGGTACCCAAGAAAAGGGATGCATCGGGCATACCCAAATTTCGTATGGCTATTGATTACAGAGGACTGCATGAAATAACTATCAATGATAAATTCCTTATTCCGAACATGGACGAAATATTAGACCCCTAACTTGTCTAATATTTTGTCCATGTTCGGAACAAGTCCGTAAGAATAATAAAATGTCAATACTTTACAACATTAGATCTTGCTAAAGGGTTCCATCAAATTGAAATGGACCCAGACTCTATTCAAAAAACTGCATTATCCACTAAGAAGGGTCACTATGAATATACCAGAATGCCCTTCGGCCTTAAAAATGCACACGCTACATTTCAGCGTTGTATGAATAATATATTACACGACTAATAGGTACCCATTGTCTAGTATATTTAGACGATATTGTTAATCTTTAAAAAAAGTATTCGAACGTCTTCGCAGATCAAATCTCAAACTACATTTAGATAAATGTGAGCTTATGAAACGAGATACTGAATTTTTAGGTCACAGCATCTTAACTAAATATATCAGAGCAAATCCAAAAAAATTCAAGCTATTCCAGATTTTAAAATTCTAAGCTCTTCAAAACAAATAAGATCATGTTTTAGACCTTTGTGGATTTCAGCGTAAATTTATAAAAGATTTCGCAGAAATTGCCAATCAAATGACTTCTCGGAGTAACTTCGGCGACACTTCTCGAAGTCACTTCTGCGGTACTTCTGGAAGTGTCGCCGAAGTCACTTCTGGAAGTGTCGCCGAAGTTACTCCGAGAAGTGCCACCGAAGTGGCACATTTCTTCCCGACGGGAGTCACTTCCGCGATCCGAATGCGATATCGCCGAAGTAACTTCTGGAAGTGTCGCCGAAGTGTCTCCGACGGGAGTCACCTCCGCGATCCGAATGCGATATCGCCGAAGTAACTTCTAAAAGTGTCGCCGTAGTCACTTCTGGAAGTCACTCCGAAGTAACTTTACATTTGCTTGTAGAAGATATCTAGAAGAGTCTTTCCCAATTGGAAAAACTTGAATAAAAACATAGTTATACTTTCAATATTTTGCATTTATTTTGTGTATAAGGGCTTTGTCCGCTTGTATACACGGTCACTGGCATGTAGGAAATTTTGCTGATCAATGTTATTTAGGTGCAGCTCCGTCGACATATGAAATTTATTAATAACCATTTCTAAAGGAAACAGAAACAAAAATTATTTTTTGTTCAGTCAAGGTAAAAATAAACTAGAAGACATTACCTTTTACAATGAAGTATGTTGAGAATCGTTGGATCCGCAGTTACACGCCAAGTAATGTCCACAGCTAGCTTGTCCGTAAATAGCTTTAAATAATCGTACAGCTCACGATAAGCACGTAATTTCACACCCTTTGTTGAGGGGGATATTTAAATATGTTAAGCAATCAATAACATTTAGAAAAACAAATCAATATTTTTAAACTCACAAAATTGATACAAAACCCCACTGTACACAGAAAAATCGCGCAACGAAATGACGCTCGGGCGAAAAATAATAGCGTAGGTCAAAAGGAAGACCAAAAAATTTTTTTTTGGCTTGTTTTTTTCCATTTCTTTTGTTTTTGTAAAATGTGTTCAACCGCCGTTTTATCGCGCAGAAGTGTCTCAGAAGTTAATTCTTCGCGATCGCGACCCTTTTTGTTTTTGTAAAATGTGTACTATCGTCTTTCTATCGTCAAGAAGTGACTTAGAAGTTACTTCTACGCGACACGTGTATATTTTGTTTTTGTAAAATGTGTACTATCGTCTTTCTATCGCGCAGAAGTTACTAAGAAGTGACTCCTGGACGACATGCGATAGAAATATCCCCCTTTTGCTTGCAGGGATGTACATCGCTCTCACTCACTGTTTGTTTTGTATCACCACTATTGCTGTTGCTCCGCACATGTTGAGTGAGTTGAGAAATCGAAGTTAGCTTCGAACTTGAGGTTGCATTGGCTCAGCAGAGGTTCAGGCAGAACAAATGGTGTGTCTATATAGATTCTTACTCTATGCAGGCTCTTTCTAGAAATTGATTCCTGTCTGCATAGTTGCATACTCTTTCAAAAATGTAGTTGGGATTTGGAAATTAAGTTCATTCGCCAGCGATTCCCAGTGTGCGATAAAGTCTGTACCTTACTGCATGAATCTATTCAAACTTACAATTACACACTGTACAGTGCTATGCAGTAGTATCTAAGTTTTAAGGGTATAGGGCTTAAATCTTCCTATAAGTCTTGTTTCTATTGCAGGTAATGCATAAGTCGGAACGAACCGGGACGGACAATTATATCTACATATGTATACATAAGTATATATCTATAACTATAGCTCCTATAGGAGTAATTTTTTGACATATTAACTTCTACTTCTAGAAATATATTTTTTGAATAGTTTAGAATTTCGAATTAAATTTGTAAAAAAAATCGGACGACAATATATGTATGTAGCTATGTATATATAGTTGCCGTAAAAACGATAGGATAGTTAATGGGAAAATAATAGGGAAATAATTATGGCTTTGCTATTTTTAATAGTATTCTCTTCTACTCCGTTATATACAATTTTTATACCCGTTACTTGTAGAGTACTAGATTCGTCGCAAAGTATGTAACATAAAGAAGGAAGCGTTTCCGACCCCATAAAGTATATATATTCTTGATCAGGATCACTAGCCGAGTCGATCTAGCCCTGTCCGTCCGTCCGTCCGTCCGGTTGAACGCTGAGATATCGGAAACTACAAAAGCTAGAAAGTTCGGATTTGGTACATATGTAGATTCCTGAGCTTCTTGGGCAGCGCAATTTTGTTTCAGCAGGGTGCCACGCCCACAAACCGCCCAAAACTGTGGCTCCTACAACATTCATGCTAAAATAAAAGTTTAACTGAAATGTATTAGTCTCGTCAATACCTATCGATTGACCCAAAAAAATCGCATAAATCTGTCTGTTATGTGGGCAGCCATATGTTGAGATCGCGGGTAGGTGCTGCATATTAATCTCGCTTTGCTGCTTGCATATCTCCATTTCCCTTTGGTCCCTTTAGCTGAGTATCTGTTAGTCGAGGTACTCGACTTTAGCATCTTCCTTTTTTAAAAATTATTTTGTAATAAAGAACATTATTAGATAAAAATTGGAGTACTAAATCATATAGCTCCAATAGGAAGTATAACAAAATGAATGCCAAAATAATACAAAAATCGTGGTATTTCTTTATCGGCAAAACGTATACGCTAGTGGATAAACTTCCGTGTAGCTTCAACGTTTTTGTTCAAACTTTCCATACCAACGTGTTTTTGGTTCCTGATTACGGGAAAAATAGTCAAAGTTGGAGCAAGTTACGGGATCTTCGAAAATAACGGGAAAACCCGTAAAATTTTTGGTTTTTTGCTGTTTTATCAGATAATATAAGAAAAATCAAAAAATGTTTCAGACAAAAACAGATGATATTTACAAAACGAATCTTTTTTGTTATAATCATTTTTCGGAAAACTTAATGGTTTTCGAAAAAATCTAAAAGTAATATTTTAAAAAGGAGGTGAACATTTTAAAATATTTCAATATCCCGCCATAAAAATGCCGTCAGATAGTTTCGACTAATCGATTACAGCATTTTAGGTGATGCTTCGACTTTTTTTACGATATATCGTGTACACACATACATACTAAAGATAGTCCCTGCAAGCAAAAGGGCGATATTTCTATCGCATGTCGTCCAGGAGTCACTTCTTAGTAACTTCTGCGCGATAGAAAGACGATAGTACACATTTTACAAAAACAAAATATACACGTGTCGCGTAGAAGTAACTTCTAAGTCACTTCTGGACGATAGAAAGACGATAGTACACATTTTACAAAAACAAAAAGGGTCGCGATCGCGAAGAATTAACTTCTGAGACACTTCTGCGCGATAAAACGGCGGTTGAACACATTTTACAAAAACAAAATATACATATAACGCGTAGAAGTCACTTCTAAGTCACTTCTGGACGATAGAAAGGCGATAGCACACATTTTACAAAAACAAAAAGGGTCGGGATAGCGAAGAAGTAACTTCTGAGACACTTCTGCGCGATAGAAAGACGATAGTACACATTTTACAAAAACAAAATATACACGTGTCGCGTAGAAGTAACTTCTAAGTCACTTCTTGACGATAGAAAGACGATAGTACACATTTTACAAAAACAAAAAGAGTCGCGATCGCGAAGAATTAACTTCTGAGACACTTCTGCGCGATAAAACGGCGGTTGAACACATTTTACAAAAACAAAATATACATATAACGCGTAGAAGTCACTTCTAAGTCACTTCTGGACGATAGAAAGGCGATAGCACACATTTTACAAAAACAAAAAGGGTCGGGATCGCGAAGAAGTAACTTCTAAGACACTTCTGCGCGATAGAAAGACGATAGTACACATTTTACAAAAACAAAAGAAATGGAAAAAAACAAGCCAAAAAAAATTTTTTGGTCTTCCTTTTGACCTACGCTATTATTTTTCGCCCGAGCGTCATTTCGTTGCGCGATTTTTCTGTGTACAGTGCGGTTTTGTATCAATTTTGTGCGTTTAAAAATATTGATTTGTTTTTCTAAATGTTATTGATTGCTTAACATATTTAAATATCCCCCTCAACAAAGGGTGTGAAATTACGTGCTTATCGTGAGCTGTACGATTATTTAAAGCTATTTACGGACAAGCTAGCTGTGGACATTACTTGGCGTGTAACTGCGGATCCAACGATTCTCAACATACTTCATTGTAAAAGGTAATGTCTTCTAGTTTATTTTACCTTGACTGAACAAAAAATAATTTTTGTTTCTGTTTCCTTTAGAAATGGTTATTAATAAATTTCATATGTCGACGGAGCTGCACCTAAATAACATTGATCAGCAAAATTTCCTACATGCCAGTGACCGTGTATACAAGCGGACAAAGCCCTTATACACAAAATAAATGCAAAATATTGAAAGTATAACTATGTTTTTATTCAAGTTTTTCCAATTGGGAAAGACTCTTCTAGATATCTTCTACAAGCAAATGTAAAGTTACTTCGGAGTGACTTCCAGAAGTGACTACGGCGACACTTTAGAAGTTACTTCGGCGATATCGCATTCGGATCGCGGAGGTGACTCCCGTCGGAGACACTTCGGCGACACTTCCAGAAGTTACTTCGGCGATATCGCATTCGGATCGCGGAAGTGACTCCCGTCGGGAAGAAATGTGCCACTTCGGCGGCACTTCTCGGAGTAACTTCGGCGACACTTCCAGAAGTGACTTCGGCGACACTTCCAGAAGTACCGCAGAAGTGACTTCGAGAAGTATCTAGATAGAAGTATCTAGTATCTAGATAGGCCGCTGCCGACCACTGGTCTACATTCATCTACATTATCTACTAAATCACCGTGGGCATTAATGACAAGGTTAAATAGTAAATGAAGTAAGGTTTCTTGCTTTAACTTCTTATAATAAAATTGAAATACAGTGGTGCTCATAGACTTCTGCCACTACTTTAAACTGTTTTCTTAATAACTTTTTTGAACATATCTATTTCGGCCTAAAATTTTTACATTTTGCAACACTGTTATTTAAGCAGCTGATCACAGTAAAAAATTACAAGTAGGTATTCGGAGGTTCCCAAAATATTGACTAAATGTCAAAAAGGAGTATTGCGCTCTGCTCATATACTTAAGCTACCTTGAGCTAAAATCGTCAAACTTGTGTTTTTTCCGGGAACGCTGTGCTAGTTATTTTCTAAAATAAAATATTGAATACTAAATACGTTTCCCAAAACAATTTGACGGCTATGGCTAAAAATAAAAATACAAATCCGGCCGAACGAAAGCTAATATGAGAATATTACTAAAAAAAAAGCACAAGTATTCTACAAATTTGTAAGACTTTACATTTTTTGCGTGGCAAAGTCAGAAATGACATTGCATTTTATGAGAAACATGGAACCTGGGAAAATATTCCACGTGAAAAGCCCAGAAAAACCACTTTAAACGTCGATAGACAGATTGCCAAAATCAGTAAAACCGATCCGTTCTTGACTTCGACGCAAATCAGAGGTCAAATGGTGGCAGATTATGTGTCACCTCAGACCATAAGACGGCTAAATGAACTTGGTTTATATGAACGCATTGCCCAAAAAAAAAACATTGCTGTTTATTAAAAATGTTAAAAAGCGCCTTTAATTAGTCAGAGAGAATGTTCAAAAAGGTCCCAATTTTTCGAACATGATTGTTTGGAGCGACGAATCCAAGTTTAATGTCTTTGGGAGTGATGGTAAACCATATGTACGACGTCCTCCCAACAAACAATTGGACCCCAAATACACGAAGAAGACCGTTAAACAAGGTGGCGCTTCGATTATGGTCTGGAGCTGTTTCACCGCATCGGGCGTAGGTCCCCTAGTGAAGGTATAAGGCATTATGAACGGCGAAATGGACAGGGACATCCTTATGAACACTTTATCTGCAGAATATGCCGATAATTTGCCACTTGTCTGAATATTTCAACAGCAGAACGACCCGAAAACACCAGCAAGATAGTCAAGTCGTGGCTTAATCAATGTTTTGCAATGGCCACCGCAGGGACCCGACTTGAACCCTATAGAGAACTTGTGGGGAATTCCTAAATAAGTCGTTGGCTAAAAAAACCAGCAAGTTAAAACGGTTTGTGGCGAATTTCGCAAGAAGAGTGGAAGAAAATCACCCCTCAACAGTGCGCACGTCTTGTGGATTCAATGCCAAAGCGTTGCTCCGCTGTTTTTAAGCAGAAAGGTCATCCCACTCAATATTAAAGTAAATTTATTAAAAGAAAAAAGAATATTGGGCAAAGTATGTGAGCAGAACATTTTGGAGATGGTCAAAGATTTTTAAAGTTTTTCGTTGAAAATAAATTTGTATAACTTGGTTATTCTTCTATTAGAACACTGGTATGTAGAACTAATGTGACACAAAAAATTGGGGATGTAAATAAAAACTTTTCTTAATTTTCGTTTAAATGCTTGGTTGAAGTCTTGTGGCTTAAGTCTATGAGCACCACTGTACATAGCTCTGTCGCCGAATTCACTTCTGGAAGTGTCGTTGAAATGCCACATTTTTTCCCAATATTATACTCAAAAATAACATATTTGAATTCGTCAATTTTATATCACTTTATCTTTTACCTAACCAGCTGAAAACCCAGAAGCTAGGGGTAGAACAGTATTATCGGTTCATCTAAAGGCAGATTAGACTTTGTACGTACGTCAATTCAAATTCCAACTATCTTTGATCAACTGAAATTTCTGTAACACCTCTTCAAAGGTAAAATTACGGGGGAGACTCAAAAATCGCTTAGAGCTTATTATGGTCAAAATTCTTACGAAGAATGGCAACATGATTGCAATATCCGGTGGAGACAAATCATAAATGTTTTAATTTTTTAGGTACGCGTTTTCATTTTTGAAAAGCCAAACTAAATATAAATAACCGCACGTAATTGCTTAGTGGTAATTTAACTATTTCAACCTAAAAATAACTATCAATTTTATGAATAGGGTAGCCAAAAAAAAACATTCATAACGAATGTTTGATTTTCGATCGCCTAAAACTAAAATACATCATTTTAATACGAAAAAAGGAATTAATTTCCAAGGTAAAACACGTGACGCTATTGTACCAAAACCGTGTCGTGCTCCTGTACAGAATAGAAGTCCAGCGTTTTTGCATTGTTATCCAGCGGAACAACCAGATCAGGGTGCTGGGCATCAACGTAGCACAGCTGGGGAACGTTACCGCCTAATTGAAATCGCTTCATAACCAATCCTTGCAGAGTTTGCACAGTAATCATTCGCGGAACTTTTTTATCCCAAGTTTCGCCCGTCAGCTGATGCTGTATGCAAACCTTAATTAAGTTCGATCGTTTCGCTTGGCTGGGTGGTAAAAAGTCTATTGGAGAACCATACTCTGTGAAAAAACGCTTTAGTTTTGAATCACCTGGCTCAGAAGAACTTACTTTTAACAAGCAAATGATAAGTGCGATGCCTCCGGTTAAACTCACGCAACGAATCCGATCCTTGATGCGTCGCTTGCATCCAGTCCGGGGCATACTTCTTCCAAATATCGTACTCGGCACCACGTCTTTCCTCCGCTGTCACCAGGGCCTTGTTGATAAATTCTATTCCGCTAATGCTAGCAACGGCCTTGGAGACCATTTCATCAAAATTGGACTTCAGATGTGGCGTCTTGTTCAGGCGCCTCAACTGAGGAAGCTTGTCAAGCTCGTTAAAAGCATCGGCCTGGGAAGAAAATATAATATTATTATATATTATGATTCGTTGTATCAAAATGTAAAGCCGGCCTACTTCGTTCCAAATGGGATTGTAAAGAAGGTTTAACTGTTCCAGAGAGGCGAACATATTAAGCTTTTCTTGGGGATCACAGTCAGGAAGTTTTATCTCTTCGATGCCGTTCTCCATGAGATTCAACAAGCGCAACGTCGTCAAGTTGCCCAACTTCGCCACCTGGTCAAAATCTATTATATTCGTGCGGTGCAAGTCGAGCTCCTGGAGCTGCCTAAAGATCTTCTTTCGATCGACCTCGGCAAGCTGACCGAAAGAGTTCTCCTGCAGGCCCAGTGACACAATATTAGGCCAAAGCAGCGCCGTCTGCATCACGTCCTTCCATTCGGTGAAGCCGCAGTTGCGCAGATTGATGCGCTTTAGCTGCCGGAAGGCAGGCTCCAGATCAGAGATTTGGGAAGACATGGGCAGAACCAGTCGATTGGAGCTGAAAGATTAGTTAAATGACAGTGGTAGTCAACAGGGCTTTAATAGTCCCTCACTCACCTCAGGTTCAGGCTAGTCAAGGAGGGTAACTGCTGCGCGATGCTGGCCACAGTCTCCCAGTTCCAGATCAAGGTGTGGCTTACGTTCAGCGTAGTCAGCTGTGTCAGCTCCTTCAAGTACCCGGCAGCGTTCACTGGCGTCTGATCTACGCTTATCTCCGCCAGCTGCTCGAACTTGCTCTGCTTTCGAGCGATTTTGTCCATGCCCACGACCTCAAAGAGCGACGCCTGCAGACTAGCTTGTGTTTCCCGGATAAGGGACTCGTCGACGTTGCTTGAGTCGTAGTTCAGGTACCGCTCCCGGGCAGCGTCCTCCAGGGTGGCGCACGGCCCCAACTTGCCCGGCCGGATAAAACTGCCCGCCATAGGCTTCTGTGTCTGGAAATAACGCTTGCCGTCTACGATGCCGTTGTGCTTGCCCCGCATCCCGTCGTCCCACTCAATTCCTAGCCAGGTGCCCATGTGGCCGCTAACCTGAAACAAGGACCACAGGTCGGTATTATGCACAGCGATAACCTAATTCTTCAGCTTCTATACCTCTCCCACATAACGCACTGTGCCATAGTTTTCGGATATCTTGATGCGTGTCCCCAGCGGATAAAACAGATGTGGCTCGTCAATAATTCCCACCATCGCTGTTGCCGTTGTATACAAGTATAGACGGCTTACACACACGCACTCGCCTTTGTGTCTGTTGCTCACTGCTGCTCCCAAATTGTGCTCGGTTTTAATTCCAGTTGATTTGTCCCAGGTTTAGATCGACATCAAAAGCAGAAAGATAAAATATTAGCACTATGTTTATATCTGCAGACTAAATTATGACTCAGAAACTATTCGTTTTATGTAGTTAATACCCTATTCACACAGAGGGGTTTTTGCTTCAACGCCCAAATTCCGCTTCCAAATAGCGTCTTCCCACAGAGGTCCATCCACCATCTACCATCCGTTGAACGGATGGTCCACAAGGTTTTACCGTTCCGAAAATTTCCCAGTTAGTTCCCATCCAAATTTGACGGACTCTTTTATGTGATAGTAAGGCAATGTTTGTTTGGTGAAACTCTGATGTCTTCTTCTTGACAGTGGAAATTAAAACATTCACTACGAAAACGTAAACAATAATGACAGGGAAAAATCGAAAATGGAAGGCGCAGAAGCAAAAGACTGGTTCGAGCCAGGTCAGCTGTTATCGGATGGTGGGTGGTGGATGTGCTCTGTGGGAATCGGAGTTTCACATTTAAAAATAGGAGGCGCAGAAGCAACAGGCTTGGATTGATCAGTCACAGGTCTTCAGATCAGCTGTTATCGGTTAGTAGATGGGGCGGTGACCTGTGTGGATCGGAGTTTCACATCTGTCAAAATCCCAACCGTTTCGAACGGATGGACCATAGGGGAAGGGAGTTCAAGCGACCTCTTCCTCCACCAGAAATACACGCATAGGAAAGAGACAGTACAACTCGCTGCAGCGGAAGTTGTGACCGCACACACAAATTGATTCAGTATTTTAGTGATTTATTCTGCATTTTTTATGAGCTTTGAGAAAGAAAAGCATTTAAATTGCAATGGCGCCGTTATAAGGAAATTGTTGTTTGTGCTGTAATTAATGTTATCTTGAAAATAAATATTTGTATGCATTTTTATGGAAATGGCCGACCTCCAGTTTGTGTCCTTCTTGGCAAGATAGGGCACTTGTTGCACCAAAACGTACATTATTTATCAAAAAAAAATGTCATTTAAAGACGCATCCACCTCCCAAAATGATTGCTTAAAAATGGATATAGTCAAAGACCAGTACGCGAGAAAGGTTTTATAAGTTCTTAAAAGGGTCCAAACGGTTCCAAACAGTCAAAATTCTCCTGCCGCTACTATTGGTCCACAATAGTTCCTATTCATTTCACTTTGCCTGAACCGAAATCTCATTCTTGATTAATTTGCTAATAGCAATGAAATAATCACTTGGCGCTGAAAGCATATCACATGCTAACATTCAAATTGTATAAAGTTTTGCGTTGTTTTCCATTTTTTTCGGAGCAACTGAGTTTGCACTTCCTCCCTTTCGTATATGGTTTGCTTAAACCGAATACAGTAGAGTAGCCAAAATATCGATGGCACCATCGATAATATCAATTATTACTATATACCTATTCACACAGAGAGGGTTTCTGCTACAACGACCAAATTCAGCTTTAGCGATTTTTTCTTTAATAGGAAATACACGTGCTAGATAGGGACGCAAAAACGTCGATACATCTCTCTTTGCGGAAAATTGGACAGCGCACGCAAATCGATTCAGTATATCTGCGTTTGTATTATAATTAAAAATGCATTGTGCCGTTACAGGTAAATTGTTGTTGGTGCTGGCCCACGGAGCCTTCCAAAAGCTCAGCGATACTCAGGTGAGCTAAGGAAATACCAGAAAAATAGCAGATGTAGCGAGTGAATTTCGATGAACGCCGTTAGCCGCGTCCCAATGAATAAGAAATTTAATCTGTGGCGGTGTTCGTGCAAACGCGTTATAGAAAAAATAAAATAAAAATGGAAAGAAAACCGCAAAAACGACTGCAGGATGTCAGTGCAGATAAAAAAGGACGCCTAGTCCAAGCTGTGGCCCATTACTGTGCGACTTCACCGACAGGAAGCAATACCACAATAGGGCAAATCCGCAGAATAGTTGAAGTGCTGGAGGAGATCCACTAGAGAATGCAAAGAAACATGCGGAGTGGGACTTCGCTCCCTAAATCTACATCCTGCCGGGCATGTCCTTGCAAAGAAAGTAAGTTCTGGGCAAAACAATTTGGTTACGTTTTACTAATAGAAGTATCTTTTTAGCAGAACCACCAGTAATACGGTCTCCGACGACCTCTCCATTAGGACTCCGGATACCACCACCACCAGCTACTTGGCAGCTCAAGCGGAGATGGAGGACCCGCTGGCTTCTATAGGAAGGAGGAAAATAGGGCTCCCGCTAAGGAGCAGTTGGAGAAGCCATAGTCAGCCACTGCCAGGATGCTGGGCGACTTCCTGCAGCATCAGCGGATCAACCCAGTTCTTCCACTTTCTCAAGGTCCAATATGCCCATTGGGACTCGGAGCTGGACTGCGGTGGCGCGGAAAAGGATGCGAAGCATCCGTGGGACGAGAAGGAAGCTTTAAACTACTAGTTTACATAAATAAAAACATACATAGAACATTCCATTTATTTTTATTCTAATTTCCTTGTGTACCAGCAGACTTCTTTTTTTTTAATTTCTCCAATTAATTCGTTTTCCGTTTGGCAAAAAACCCAACTGCTTGACAGTAAGACCATGCTACGTGCATTGCGGGTAAACTTTGAAAACTTCTAGAAAACGACTAGTGAAACTCTTAGCCGATCTGAGTACTAGGCTTTTGGAAATAAGCCCAACCGCTTAACAGTAAGACCATGCCACAGGCATTTTTAGACTAGTGAAATTCTTAGCCAATCTGAGTACTAGACTTTAACATCAAAAGTCTTAAAAAAAAGTGTGACAGGGCCTTAGTATTTTTTGTGTATTTATGGTATTTAGTATGGTATTAAAGATATTTAGTGACAGAATTGCTGTGGTCACTCTGACAGTCGACGAAAAGTTTTCATATAATAATAGAATAATTTGCGATATTTAAGTGATTTTGAAAAGGTTTGTATCTCAAATTCAATTGTATTTATTTCATGTTTGTCTAGCTGTCATTTACTTACTTCTTGGATACTGAACGTGCATTTCGGTGGCTGGACTACACCGTCTGCACTACAGCGAGTCAAATGGTTGGACAGGATGCCGAGCTGGTCAAGTTGGCGTCCACCACTTCGCTGGAAGTTATCTATCGAGGACACGGGGAAGACTGCCTGGCGCTGTTATAAACCTACATACATGAGTTGTCCGAACTCAGAGTGACCGACCATTACCTGCTAAGTCCTCGAAATATGTTTGTAACGGTCCTAACATATATTGAAATTAAATAATTTAAGCATGTTTTAGGGGTTTCAATATTTATTTTAATACAAGAAACAACCAATTAAAACCAAAACTGAATATTAATATTTCAGGCATATCAATATGTTATGAAAAATTATCAGTTTGATGTTAAAAACTGTCAGTTTGATATGAATGCTTGCTTATGAGTTTGATATTGAAAAGTACCACAATTTTGTCACAAATTTGATATGCGCGCAAAAATATTAATTGGCTACACAAGGGTCCAAAATTAATGAGGACCGCCCCAATATTCCTATTAGGCTATTATCTTTTCTTGGTTGCTCGCGCCCTCAACAATTGCCATTCTCCATAATCCAATTTGCGACTGTCCGCGGTCCCAGCTAATATACAGACGGCTGAATGCACATCTGCAGATAAACCGACATATTTGTACATACATATAGATGTACATATATACACATTTGGCGTATGGTTGAATATCATATTGGGCACCCCCGGTCGAAAACAGCCGGTACAATATTTTGGCGCCTAATTAGGCGAGAGTATAAGAGTGGAAAAGCTCGGAAACGCATGCGCCGAGAGGAAGAAAGTAAAAGCTCGTCCCAAGGACAATACGAGGCAACGAAACTCAAAGCCTCAGTAGCTTGCAGCCAGCCGCCAAGCAAAAACCCCTAATTTGCATGCTTTATGCAGATATACATCAGAAATGTGATTAAGAAAGGAATGCGAATTAACAGCAAATGTGTTTTAGCCGTGGTTTTTGCTCAACAGTGTCAAAAGCGCGTCAGCAATTCGTCGCGGGAAATAAGCGAGCTGTGCACTAGACCACGTGGCATTGGCAACCAAAGGAACTATAGGTAACTACTGATGTGAAGTCGAATCGGATGTCGCACACAAACTTTTCTTTTTTATTTTTGCGCAAATGTCCAGAAACTATGAAAACAAATATGTTGTAGATTGATTAAAAAAAACTTTTTGTTGGGCTCCTTGCAAACTGGTTTTCAGATGACTCAACAAAGATAACCGGGAAATCGACTTGTATACGTTTAATACTATAAGGAATAGGCGAATCCGGAGAGCGATTACAATATATATTCGAAAACAATGTAAATATTCCCATACCCATCAGCATAGGAAATACATACATACATTCGTACACGTGAACAATGTACATACATACCTATGTACATGGGCGTCGGGCATTTAAACTGATTTCCTAAATACAATTTTTATCTATGTATGTATGTATTATTTTCTCTTGCAATGGCAAAATTAAATCAATATGCTCCGGCATTTTTTGCCTCTCCACACTCACAGAAATTTTAAGGTAAAATCGCCCTAAAACGGGGGTTAATGCGGTTGAGTAACAAAATAAGGCAATTTTTTCTAAAAACATGCATTACGTTTGGGTCGATTTTTTCTTAAATCTAGGGCGACTTAAAGGCAATTGCCCTTCAAATAAGAAATAATTGTTGAAATAACAGACATTTTTCTAGAATTGTTGCTCTACGTTTTGAATCAGTGGTGCCCACACAAATACAATGAAATGTAAGACTTTCAGTTCTAAAAAATCAGTTTTCATCCGTTAACCACCGAGGACACTTCGGCTGTCACGCGTGACTCACGCAGGACGCTCCATATTGACATTTGAATAGAATATCCGCTTTTTCGCTAGTGACAGCTCGTATGAAATTTTTGCGTAGTCAAACCTCATTTCACGCGTGCCTTATACGTAATTTTCGTATGGGTCACCTTGTCACCTTGAGACATGTCCTTAGTGATTTCATGTTTGACAAAACATAAAATGTCATTAACAAAAATGGTGAAAAAAAGCCTTTAAAAAAAAAGAACTTTTTATTTGTACACACTTTTTAGAATTCTGGCTTGAAATTTGATTTTTTTTGTTTTTTTTTTACATTAAATATGTTATTTTGTTTCGCTTTTCTAAGGCACATTAGGAGGAAGAGAGATTATCGAAAACACCGAATTCCGACTCTGCGAGCAATGGTAAATAACGGTTGATTATAAGACAAAGAAAGAAAGGGGAAATCTCCAAAAATCAACATCTCTTTCTTGCCCTACCCTAAAAAGGGTCGGGATCACAAAGAAGTATCTTCTGAGACACTTCTGGGCGATAAAAAGACTATAGAAGGCATTTTACAAAAAGAAAGTTATTGGGAAAAAAACTGTCTTACAAATGACATCTAGAAGTTGAAAAGGAGACTAATAGAAAAACAAAAAACAACGCTGACGCAATAAAGGAGGGTCCCGAGAGCGTCTCCCTCTTAACTGATGGTATTATATTTCGCCCGCGCGTTATTTAGTTTTACGATTTGTCTGTGTTCAGTGTGGTTTTGTATACAATTTTTTTTGATTATTGCTTTGATGTTCTAAATGTTTAATTGTATATATGTAGATTTGATTGAATAGATTAGATTAGGTTGTATAGATCTCGGAAACTACAAACACTGGAGAGTTGGGACTAGGAATGCAGATTCCTGAGCTTCTTGCGCAGGGCAAGTTTAGCAGGGTGCCACGCCCTAAGGTTTTTATGCTAAAAAAATATTTAACTGAAATGTATTGGTCTCGTCAATACCTATCGATCGGCATTAACGCCAACAAGCCGCTCAAATCTGTGGGGCCCACAATTTTCATGCTAGAAAACAAATTTTAACTGAAATGTGAAAAGAACATGTTCATTCGTTATATATTTTTTGATTGTATACATGCAGCAATCTATCTTAGTCTTGTATGTATATTATGACGTTAAAGTTTCTTAAATGTTGGTTAAATTTTATGTATTGGCGCGCATGTGCCTGCGATTAAAGAAGTAGGAGCTGCAGGGGAGGCGGATGGGAAATGTAACAATTTTAATTATTTAATAATTTATCTTTCTGAAAAAAATTACATTTTATTTGTACATGTTCGCCAGCGGGATCGATCCCGGGTCTTCCGCGCGAAGACCAATCACACTACCTACTGAGCCAATGTCGCACTTAAGTTAAGATCGACAAACCGAGCATGGTATATATGTAAGTGTTGAGAGCAGACAAAGACATGTGAATTCAACTTGTAGAATTTTGTACCATTCGAGTTTTAGGTATCTATGAATGCATTTTAATGCAAATTATTATAAGTGTAGCCATATAATTCAAGAAGATCTTGAACACTGCGACTTTATAAATGGTCAAATTTCTATATGTATAACTTAATAAATGAATTTGACCGTTTAACAAGGTGATACGAACATTTTTCATTAAAACAAGGAAGTACCTCGACTATTATAGAACCGCTATTCAGCTAAAGGGACCAAAGGGTGATGGAGATATGCAGTCAGAAAAGCTATCTAAATATTTGGTTATGTGGGCGGCAGACAGATTTAAGCGTGACGGGCGTTAGCGAGGAAAATTTTTCTGCGGGTCAATCGATAGGTATTGACGAGACTAATACATTGTAGTTCCAATTTTTTTTCTAGCATGAAAATTGTGGGCCCCACAGATTTGAGCGGCTTGTGGGCGTTAGGGTGGGTGTAGCAAGCTTTTTTTGGTCAATCGATAGGTATTGACGAGACTAATACATTACAGTTAGAATTTGTTTTCGAGCATGAAAATTGTGGGCGCCAACGGCTTGGGCGACTTGTGGTCGTTAGAGTGGGCGTGGCAGCCTTCTGAAAGAAACTTGCACTGCGCAAGAAGCTCAGGAATCTACAAACCCCAACTTACTAGCTTTTGAAGTTTCCGAAATCTCATCGTTCATCCGGACGGACAGACGGATGACTCGGCTAGTGATCCTGATCAAGAATATATGTTCTTTTTGGGGTCGGAAACTCTTCCTTCTACCTGTTACATACTTTTCGATGAATCTAGTATACCCTTATACTCTACGAGCAACGGGTATAAACATTAATAAAGAAGGCTAGTTTTAGTAAGCCGAAGTTTCTATACCCTTGCAGGTTGATTTCGTGGGAGCACTGTATGTATAGAGCTGTCCAATTTTTAGAAAACTAAAAACTAGTTACAGAAATTTTAAGATAATGTTCCATTTTAATTTACTACCGTATAAATTAAACGAAAACGAAGTATAACGGTCTTTGTACTATTTTGGCATTTATTTTCCGATCTTTCCTATGGCAGCAGTTTGATAAAGTTGTCATATGTTTTTAAACTTTTATTCGAAACTCCTACAGAGTATTAAAAGAATGATATTCTGAAGAGTACAACTTAATATGTCAAAACACACCAAATTTATATATTTTTTTACATTTTTTAAAAACATTTTTTTTGATCATTCCTCTTGGTGCTATAGGATTTAGTGGTCCGTCCGGTACCTATCGATTGACCCAAAAAAAAAAGTTTGCGACGCCCCCTTTAACGCCCACAAACCGCCCACAAACTTCAAAAAATCGTACATGTGAACGTCGGAAACGTCTCGGAAACTATCAAAGATAGAGAATGGGAATCTCAAATTTAGATTCCCTAGTCTTGAACGCAGCGCAAGTTTGTTACGCGACTATGCCACGCCCACAAATTGCCCAAACCTGTGGCGCACACAATTTTCATGCTAGATAAGAAATTTTAACTGAAATGTATTGGTCTTTTCAATACCTATCGATTATTCCAAACAAAAATTTGCCACGGCCACTCTAACGCCCATAACTCTTAAATCGGACTACCGCCGGTAGGTGGCGCATTTCAATCTCGCTTTGCTGCTTGCATATCTCCATTTCCCTTTCGTCCCTTTAGCTGAGTAACGGGTATCCGATAGTCGAGGTACTCAACTATAGCGTTCTTCCTTCCGTTCTCCTTTTATTTTGTTTTTATCAATATCTCGTTTTTTTATTTAAATAAAAAAAAAGATTTATGTTAAGGTTCAGAAAAGCAAAGTGTTAACACTATTTAAAATATTTTATAAATAATTTTAAATAATTGAAAAATGTTTTTTTTTTAGTTAAATAAAAAAAGTTTTATGTTAAGGCTCAGAAAAGCAAAATCTTAATACTATTTAAAACAATTTATAAGAAATTTTAAAAAATTAAAAAATATTTGATGTTTTTAGCGATCTATCGATATTTTTGAATCCCTACCACAAACGTCCATAACGCTTACATCTGCCCCCACGTAACCATATATTAAAATCGCGAGTAGGTGGCGCTTTACAATCTCGCTTTGCTGCTTGTACGCCTCACTCTCCCTTTTGCTTAGGGTTAGAATCATTTAGGGTTATGGTAATTAATTTTAGAAAGGGTATTCCAACAACAATTTTGTATTTTCGTAAGTTTTCTATTTTTCAGTAAATAAATTCTAGACATAATGACATATTTTATCATTTTTAGAGCGATTCTGGTTTTTGGTAACTAACCTACATTTGAGTAACGCTTTCTTGATTAAGAGAATGTTTCCTTGACTTTAAAAATAAATTTCTAGAATTTAAAAAAAATAAATTTTATTGATTTTCAAAACAGTGGGGTAAATTTAATTTTGAGTGTACCCCTCGTGCTCATAACAATAAAAGGCATATGTCAGCGGTTGTCAGCCGACCACCTTGCTTGTTCTATTTATAGCCCTCCCTCCACCTGCACTTTGTAGGCCCTGATTTTGTGCCCTCATTATTCATAGCCTGTTTGCGGTCACGCGCCCAAAAGTGTACTTAAAATTACATACCCCAAAATGCAGTTAGCCCGATCTTTGGGTTTTGACCCTTGGCAAATGGTCAATAGACTGCTGCGGAAACTGTGAGCGCTGGCATGATTATATATTAATTTTTTTCTCTTCGCCGGCAGACCAGTGCCTGCTCAGTTTGCTTGTATATTTATCACTCAAGAACCCGTGGCAGCACTCTCGTTGTCTCTCATTTTGAT